ATGGAATTAATATGAGAAAATGAAAAAATGGAAACAAAGTCTTTGTAAATAGGGAGGGATGGAGGGGTTGAAGGGAGGGCAGGGGAAGAGGGAAAAAATAAGAACCAAGATAGATTATGTAAAGTTGCAAATTTCCAATGATGAATGCCAGTATATTGTATACATAAAATGTACCAATAAAATAAAATAAAATAAAAAAGAGAGAAAAGTTGCCCTAAAGTCCTTGTTTCTACTATGCTTTCAGAAGTGACATTTCTAAGGTGGGCACCCTAATTTAGAAAAACACCTGGTTCCTCATTTATAAGATATAGAGTTACAGTAGCTAGAAAGAAGATAAAGACCTAGATTTCTAGACAGAAAGCACATTTAGAGATGTATCAGGACTCCTGATTCCCCCTCCCCATATGCTTACAGGTGGGTCTGACCCTTATGGTGACCAAGGCAATTCCTCTGGGCAATAGGTGTCTCAGAAGTTAAGTGACCATGCCACCACTGAGCACAGTGAGGTAAAAGTCTACAATGCTTCCATTATGGTTGGCACTGGCACTTATTGCCCCAGTCTTGAGGGTCCCCTATGCAAGGGGGCCCAGACAGAAGGTTCCACCATGCTATATTGTGGCAGTGGGGACTTCAGGAAGTGAGCCAAGAAGAGGATGGAGTTTCCTCCTGAGTTCACTCCCATTTAGGCTAGTTATACTGACCGTGTCTGGGGATCTTCCATGCTTTTTCTTGTAATTCCTGGGTTAATTTTACCAGATGTTGCATCAGGTGGGAGTCTGCGAATCTGGGGTTCTTCTTCTGAAAAGACCATCTGCTTTTCTGGGTTCCTGCCCCTGCCCTGACGATGAATGCAAAAGTAGGGCCAGGCTGACTCAAAGCTGAAGATCCCTCGCGTGGAGAATGAGGAACTCAGGTCATAGTCCAGGGTGCAGAATGAGGCGAGGAACTCAGAAAACAAAGTAGTGTGAAGCGGAGGTTTATTCCTATGATGACAAAGACAGAGAAAAAGCTGTCCTGCAACAAGCTACATGGAAGAGAGAAGCTTGAAATGAACTTCTCAACAGGGGTCTTTGCTCTGCCTGTTCTTATGGGGATAAGCTGGTCTGGGGTGAGTTAGGATTTTGGGGTCTTCACTGATTGCTGTGCTCTAGGCCAATCAGGGTCTTAGCCTTTGTTGCTGAGATGAACTGTTGGTGGGGTAAGCTGTTGCTAGGGTGAACTATTGCTAGAGTGAGCTAAGGTTCATGGGGTCTAGGGGGTTCCAGTGAATACATGCAAGAAGGTCAAAGAATAACTGTTCTATACCTGCAAAGGTTTCACAAGGGGCAATTTCCAGTAAACAGGTGGTCATTCTAGAGCCATCTGCCATGTCAGGCATGCCATGACAGATGCTTTATGTCCCACATCCCTGCCGATTGCCCCTTCTCACTGTCCCTATGCACTGCTGTTCCACTGGTACATTTCTCTCTAGAGGCCTCTGGAGTCACCCGTCCTCACTGTGCCTCTGCAGATTCAACCCTCTTCTTTCACTTCATGAGGCAGGAGCCAGGAAGAAAGTGTAGTTTGCCTCCTCCCTTTTTTGTGTTGTGGTCTGTCTCTTCACTTTCTCTGTAAGCTCCACTTTTCCTTCAGATCTTTCCTGAGTCCCAGGGATACACCACCCTTCATCTTTTCTTCCTCAAGTTGTTATTCTTCAGTGTCTGGATTCTGAATCTTGGAAAATAAGATTTGTTGCTGTTTACCATTCCTCTATCTTCCCAAAAGTCTAAACAGTGTCTTAATATCTGAGGAGGTATCCTTGGTGGTGAGCCTGATGAGGAAACCTGGGTTCAGAGAGGGAATTCATTGTAAATGTACCTTGACACTGAGTGTAGGTTGCCAACAACATCTGTCTGTGTTTAGGAACTCTATGGTACAGGGTGCTGGCATGCAAATGAGTATAGACAGACTGTCCCTGGAACCTGATCAGAGAGGTGCAGGTGCTACCAGGTATGTACGGATTTCTCTATGGGCACAGGAAGGCAGAGAGGGATTGAAAAACTAGAGTCATGTTTTCCTTGGAGGCAGGACTTAAGATATTCAAAGGCATCTGTACAACAAGAAGACAAATGCAGTCCAAAGGGCAGAGAGGTGAGGCAGGATTAATAAAAAAAAAAAATGTTCCAGAAAGACAGTAATTAGGGAGTAAGATGCAGGCTCCATGCCATGGCACCTGTAGGCTACCTGCCTTTGCCAGCCCTCTGGATTCTTACTTCCTCCTCTGGATTAAGATAGGCCAGACTCTTGTTTTGCCCCACTGTGCCTGTTCCTGTCCTCTGCAAAGTCATGTTGCTGTACCTGGCAGCCCTTGTGGGCCTGTACCACCTTGTGCGCTGGTACCGGGAGAGGCAGGTGGTGAGCCACTTCCAAGACAAGTATGTGTTCATCATGGGCTGTGACTCAGGCTTTGGGAACCTGCTGGCCAGACAGCGGGACATGCAAGGCTTGAGGGTGCTGACTGCGTGTCTGACGGAGAAGGGGGCCGAGCAGCTGAGGAAGCAAGAGAGGTCAGAATGGCTGGAGACAGTGATCCTGGGCGTCACCCAGACAGAGGGCATCGCTGCAGCCACCCAGTGGGTGAAGGAGCATGTTGGGGACAGAGGTACCAGCTAGATTCCTGTCTGTGTCTGTTGGTTTCTTCTCTGTCTGTGAAGGGGACACCTTCTGCATGCTCCCTGGTGAGATTCGAAAGGAATCTTGAGGAGGTGATGCTTGAAGGAAGAGTCACTTCCTTCCCCTCCCCACAGTGGTAGCTTGAGCCCCTTCTCTCTCCTGTCACTCCACCTCCCATCCTTGGAGCCCTCTAGTCTTGGTGAGAGGTGCCCTGTTGGGAACCTGGCCTCCAGATTTCCTCTCTGTCCTCTGCCTGCCTTTCTGAGCAGAAGTTCTGGGTTGCTGGATGCTGAGTGCCCGGTTAGAGATGGGCTATCTTTCTGGAGGAGGGCTGGGGTCTGGCACCCTGGGCTGTGCGGTGGCTGGGGACATGCTGGAGCTGGGACTTGTTCTTACTGGGTGCTCAACATCTTCCACCCGGAGAGCTAAGATCTTCCCATGTTCAGAACAGGCATGAGATGAAGAACTGGCTCAGGAAAGCCAAAAACTGGGGGTCACTTTTGCTTTCTCTTGCACTACACTATTTTGTCTGTGCTGTTATCTGGAAAGAAAGGAGCAGTGGTATATTTCATCCAAGAATAAATGCCAAGTATGATGGTTGTCAAAAT